CCCTTAGCTACGCTCTGTTAGAAAGAACCCCGGCGACAGAGAAATATCGGCGGCCTAAAATGTGAAAGGATGGTGAGAGGGGTGTATAGAGACAAAAAGCAAAGCTATCTGTTTTGTCCTATAAACTTTGAGCTTCTCAGGAAGTTTCACAGCAGTGCAACACTTGAAGGTTTCACTAACCACAAATATCTCAGGTTAGGGTGAAAGGAAATGGAGCCCCGAGAGCGTCTGCTGTCTTCTTTGCTTTTTGTTTTTTTTATCTCACTTGTCTACTTTTGGCCCCTTGTGGGTTACTGATGAGTAACGATGCTGCGTGAGGCCGCTCGTTTTTCGTTTGCAGCATTAACCCACCGCCTCTGTCTGTCTGCTCCTCAGCCGGGGAAGCAGAAGAAGAAGTTCTCTTCGTTCTTTAAGAGCCTGGTGATCGAGCTGGACAAAGACCTCTACGGCCCGGACAACCACCTGGTCGAGGTCAGCACAAACACGGGGCCTGACGCATGTTTTTAAAAAGAGCCGTTTTATTCACTGGAAATAATTAGAAAAACATTTTTTTCCCCCCCAACACATTTTAGTTAAGTGCTTTTGAGATTAATTAAGGAACGAGCAGCCCTGTCAAATATCATAAAAGTAATTTAGTTTCAGCAGCACTTAATAAAATGGCATAAATAAGAATTTAAAATGACAATGACATGCATACACGCACACTTTTAACGAATTAATCTTTAAAAACAGGGCTTTTGAGTGTCAAATGTAAATGAAAGATGACTCAGAGTGCATCATTCTGGAAACAGAACTGGAAAAAAAAGAAACCGGGCAGCTTCTAATTGAATATATTACCCTTATTAACTTCTGTCTCTGTCCTTGCAACAACTTCTGTTTGTGTTGAGGTTTCTTTTTGTAAAGATAAATGACAAACACAAATGTTCATTCCGTCTTTTCACACCTTTTTTAAAAAGATCAGCTATCTCTGAACAAATCTCAGAGCGTTTTTTCTAGGGGAGACATTCAGAGATGTCACCGCGTTTTTACTGCCGAGACGAGCAGAAACACTGTTTTGTTTCAATGGAGTCGCAATTTCATAAGAAAAAAAACTCCAGTCGGTCATTTGGTTGGAGCGTCTGACGGTATTTCTTGCCAAGCCAAATGGGAAAATTGACGCAAGTCTCATGCGCGTCCTGTTGAAGTGAAAGCACACAGAGGAGGCGGTTAGACTGACACCATGACGTCGCCAGTGGAGACTCGGGGAAGTCAAAAAATAGTCCAGCACAAAAAACACCCTTCAAACCACAACGAAACAAGGGGCTTCTGGGTCTGTGTAAGGCTTTGGAATCGGGCTATTTAGTCTTTTTCTCTGACTCACTTACTGGTGTAGTTCAGTGACATCGTCATCTTTCTGTTTTCTTATCAATCGAGTATACCTGTAAAACCGGATGACATTTTATTTTTAACTGCGTATTTAAAACTGAATTCACCGTCTTTTGAACGACAGGACTCGTCCCTTTTCGGGACGTCTCAGTGGATGTTTTTGCAAAAGCATCCAATAAAACGGAATAGATCCAAATCTGTATTTACATTTGTTGATGAGTGCTTGTTTAGTTTGGTACTCCAGGGCAGGTTTTTTAACAAACACTCGCCCCACGGCTCCTGGAAAAATGAAGGAGAAAAATTATGTGTGCATTTCCCGAAATATCAAGCAGCACCTTCAACAAATTGTGTTGTAAGGCTTTGCTTTGTAAGCTCTTTTAAAGTGGTTTTTGAACACTTTTTTCCACACTGAGAAGGTTTATCTGGGCTCTGTTGCACTTAATAACCATGTAAAAACAGTCAATGACAATTAATTTCAGATAGTTTTAATGTAGTCTTTTATGGCTAAGTGTAGAGGTACAGTCATCCCAGGTAGCTTTCCCATTTTGATTTTGTTAAATACAAACTGAACGTCGAGTGTCTGACACTCTATTTTGTGATAGGCTTACTTTTCATGACCTCAGAAAAAGATAAGTTTTTAAATATCCTGCCAACAGGCTTGTTTAACCGTTTTCACGCATACGCTTACTTATGAACCACCAACCGCTGCCCTTCGCCTCCACAAAAGTGCACTGGCGTTCCGAAAAACCCACTTCAGGAGTGTTCGGCGTGAAATCTTGACTTCTCAAGGTTTTGTCTTTTTAAGCGAGCACTCAGGTGCTTCTGTTTGAACGCTCTTCAATCAAAAGAATTTCATCCCCACCTTGAGGCGCAATTTCTGCTTAAACCGTTCGGAGCCAGCCAGTCATTGGCTGAAGGACGATTTCTCTCTGTATTTCTCATCAGTGAACTCTGCTGCGGGTAGTTTATTCCCTTCTTTTTCACCACTGCGTGGTTAAGATAAAACAGACGTAAATTAACTCGTTTGCTTGAAAACTGAGAAGGCTTGAAAAGAGAATTTGAGTTTTATAGCGTTTCACGGTCATTTAACTTTAACTAAGCTGATCGTGTGTCGATAACCGGCTCCTGTTTGGGTTTTTTGGAGTGCTGAGCATGGCTTGTTTGTTGATATTTAACCCCTAAATGCACCCAGTGCTCTCTGTCAATCATCAGAGCCACGTGCTGAAATGGTTTCTTTGTATTCTTTTAGCAAATCTGAGGAAGTCTGTCACTAAAACCCTAAAAATGTCTTACCAAAGTACACATTTATGCCATTTTTAACAGGAAAAAAAGTGGCTTTCTTATTGTTTCACCATTTTGATATAACAGAGCCTGTAAGATCTGACAGCAGCACCTGGAACCGAGTCTTAAAGTGATGTAGAAAATTGACGTTTTTACAGAAAAAGCCCTTTCAGCTCATCTTGAGAGCAGCAGAAAAATCTTTGTTCTATATTCCACGCCTGCCTGTCTGTCTGTCTAACACAAAACCAGCAAGATCAGCCGTCTGATCTCAGAAACGTTTGGAGATCTTTTCATACGTAATGGTTCCTGAGATAGCGTTTCAACAACCGGCAAAAAAATTGCCCTTTTAAAGTTTCCTCGTGTAACGCTCTGGCAGATCGGTTGGCAGAGACGCCAGATATTATTCATTCTTTTGCTTGTGTTTGCGTCTTTGTTGCCATAGCGTGAAACATTCATATCTAGAGCTGGTGCAGGCCGTCCTGTGCCAGCATTTCCCCTCAGACAAACACCACCCGTAGCCCAAATCACTCTCTAAAGCCTCACTTTTTCTATATTTTTACACATTTAGCAGGCAAAAATGAATTGATTTCTCTCAGGGAGGTGTGAGATATGTGTTTCCTCGATCCAGAAATAAGGAATTCTGTTTTCCCGCCGTCTTTCTTAGTGGCACCGCACGCCCACCACCCAGGAGACGGACGGCTTCCAGGTGAAGCGGCCCGGGGACGTGAGCGTGCGCTGCACCCTGCTGCTGATGCTGGACTACCAGGTCAGAGGTCGCCCAGGGCCTTAGTTTCCGGACCTGGGAGATCTGATAAGGTTGTGAGTTGTGAGAGTCCTGTTTTCTCCGCAGCCCCCCCAGTTTAAGCTGGACCCCCGCCTGGCGCGCCTGCTGGGGATCCACACCCAGACCCGCTCCTGCATCATCCAGGCCCTCTGGCAGTACGTGAAGACCAACAAGCTGCAGGACTCCCACGACAAGGAGTACATCAACTGTGACAAGTACTTCCAGCAGGTCAGCCGCAAAACCTCCCAGAATTTCTTTTTTTTTTAAAGGAAACTCAATCTGCTTTTTTACTTAAAACACCATGTTTCATGGTTCCTCGTGACCCTTCTCCCCTTCGGGAAAGCTGTGTGTTAAAAATCTGGTGTTGATTGGTTTCTGAAAGAGGAAAAGCTGCAGGGAAAAGTATGCAAGGGAAGCCATTTCTTGGTAAAAAAATATGTATTATTTCCTTTAAACGTAGTGCATTTCTCCACCTACACATGTGAATTAAAACTCTGCCTTTCAAAGAAAAGCACAGCTTCCTGGGATCAAGCTCATTTAAGGACTGAATTAAAGTGGGTGAAGATGAGAGGGTGTTTTTAAAAAGCTCTGCCGGCCATTTGTGTACTTCTGCTTTACGTGTGTTTTATTGTGCACGTGGGTGGTCTGAGGTGCGCCCTGTATCTGGGCGCCGTTTGTCAGTACTTAAATGGTTCCTCTTCGCCCTCCGTGTCAGATCTTCGACTGTCCTCGGCTGAAGTTCTCTGAGATACCTCAGCGGCTCACCAACCTCCTGCTGCCCCCCGACCCCATCGTCATCAACCACGTCATCAGGTAACCCCCCCGACTTTAGCTCACATTTAGCCGGAGAAATCCGTCCATCCGTTATCGGAACCGCTTATTCCCTAATGGGGACACCGGGGGACTAGAGCCTATCCCAGTAGTCAAATGGCAAGAGGCGGGGTCCCCAGTCCATTACAGGGCAACACAGAGACACACAACCACACACACTCACACTCACTCCTAAGGGCGGTTTGGAGTCCAGTCAATCTAACATGCAGGTTTTTGGACGGTGGGAGGAAGCTGGAGAACCTGGAAAGAACCCACAGACACAGGAGAACATGCAGACTCCACCCAGAAAGGTCCTGGTTCCCCCAGGGACTCCAACCCAGAACCCTCTGGCTGTGAGGCCATGATGCTAACCACCAGCCCACCGATTATCTTAACGGAACAACATCACCATCATCATTATCGTGTGAATGATGCCAAATGCTTAAACATAAACAACACATAAACACTATTGTGTCCATTCCAAGGGCTCACACTGACGTTTCCCTCTGGCTTTTTCCCTCCGAACGCAGCGTGGACCCCAACGACCAGAAGAAGACGGCCTGCTACGACATCGACGTGGAGGTGGAGGACCCGCTGAAGAGCCAGATGAGCAGCTTCCTCCTGTCCACCGCCAACCAGCAGGAGATCGCCTCGCTGGACAACAAGGTGAGCCGGCCTTGTTGTCGGACACAGGAGCTGCCAGCGAAATGTCCTGGCTATTAACGTTTGACAAAGACTCAGGTCGCAAAGACACATTTTAGCTTAACTGGCATTCCTTCGGTGAGTGAGCAAAAAGAAAGGGAGCAGCGGAGAAATGTCCTGATTCTCGTGAGCGAGCTGTCTTTGCCTGACTCAGTTCTTTTTTGCTCGCCGTTTCCATTTGCGTGGGAAATACTGGAGTGTGGATGTCTTGTGCCTGTGAGAATATTTGAGAAGAGAATGGCATTATTTCCTAAATGTTGTCACTTTCTTAACTGAAAACTGAAATTCCGGAGCTCAGTCCAATCTTGATCACTTCACTTCTCAGCCCCCCCCCTTTTTCTGAGGTTGTAAAAAGGGCTAAATTACTATAAATGATGTCATTAGCTGCGTTTCCACCAGAGGCTTTTTTCTCATGACTGAAGAACTCTGGGGTGACCTTTTTTAGACCTTTCATTTCCACAGCAATAACCAGAAGAGCGTCTTTTTTTTCTTCTTTTTTTGTCGCTGTACTTCAATAGAAAAAGAAGCTTGATAAAAGCACGAGTTGAGGGTTGCATGTCGAGAAAGTTAAGACAAAACTGTTAAATACGTCAAACGTCTGCAGCTGATTTTTCAGAGACGAGCTGAAAGCAGATGAAGTAAACTTCTTGGTTTTATTTTCTAATTGTGTCTGTGTTCTGCTGACTGTCCTGCAGAACATGAACACAAAGACGAGAACGTTTTTTCCCACTTTGACTGACTTTCTTATTATTGCTCCTATAGTTTTAAAGACTTTACTTCAAATTCTGACTAACCTTTTCACACCTTGAACAAAAAACCAGAGGATCAAAGCACTGAGCGTTTCACTGATTGACCATATAGCTATTATATTATTATTATATTATTAAAATGGCTCATGTTTGGATTTAAAAGACTTGTGCTGGATTCCTCAAAATGAATTTGAGACATTTTGATAACTTGTTAGTTTTTTTTTTTATCTGACCAAATACAAACTAGTTACAGAATGATAAAAAATAAAAGGTTTACTTAAGCACATGACTAAACAGTAGTTTGAATGTGTTTAGGAACTATTTTTGTTGCAGAAAAAGGAATATTCCAAATTTCTTGCCACTTTTTACCTTTTGTTAGTCTTTGACAGGCTTTAAAGTTTTCTTAAGTATGATGAGCTCACTTTTCCTTTCAGATCCACGAGACCATCGAGTCCATCAACCAGCTGAAGATCCAAAGGGACTTCATGCTCAGCTTCTCCAGAGATCCCAAGGGCTACATCCAGGACTGGCTGAAATCCCAGAGCAGAGACCTAAAGGTTCAACGCCTCTATCCACACACACACACACACACACACACACTCACACACACACACACACACACACACACACACACACACACACACACATAGGCTGTTCTCACTCTTATGGTAGCCCACAGAACATTTTTATCATCCATAGAAACAAATCGAACACAGGAAATAAATTCCCAAAGCCAAGCTTGTGCCCTCTAGGGGCTGTGATTGGATAGCTGGTCGTCCACTCACATCGTCAGACATTTTTGGCAAATTACGCAAAAACACTGTGTTTAACGAAAAAGAAAATGACTCCAAAAAACCCCACTGATTCCTCCCGTTGGCTCCAGCTGATGACGGACGTGGTGGGGAACCCTGAGGAGGAGCGGAGGGCCGCGTTTTACCACGAGCCCTGGTCCCAGGAGGCCGTCAGCCGCTATTTCTACTGCAAGGTGAGGACTCACGCACCTCAGGATTTCTCTTTATTTCTTTTCTTTTCTATACCATGCGTTATATTCATGTTTTCTATCTCCTGACCCTGTTACAGATCCAGCAAAGGAGACAGGAGCTCGAACAGGCCTTAGCGGTCCGCAACACCTAAGCAGAGGCTATCCTGGGTGTGTGTGTGTGTGTGTGTGTGTGTGTGTGTGTGTGTGTGTGT